ATTGATTTTCCAAAAATAGTTGATAATAATCGAGTAAGCAATGTTAACATTTGTTTTCATTTGTTGTTGTCTCAAGTTCAATTGTGTTCATTACTATGAATATTTGAGATTCAACATTCAGATTTTGTTTTTTTTATGATTAATCAAATAGGCTTATTACTAATGACACAATTGAAACAATGTTTGTCAATTCAATTCTTTATGATTTTCTCAATCAAATCTATTCATTATAATTGCATTAACTGTAGAATTCATGAAATTATTTAAAAAAAACTTAAATTCTTGATCTAATTTATTGATAATCTTATGGATTTATCCGTTATTCGAAAGATGAAACCGTAATTTTGTTGGTTGACATTGACAATGACAGTTGTTTTTTCTCGCAATTAGAATCTTATGTTATTCAATATAACAAGAAAAGAAAACACGTTTGTGTTAAACGAATTAGAATCTCTTCGTTACATCATAAAGTCACGGCTAATCCAATTATTACGACCGTAGCAATTGTTTCTTTTTATTACCATATCGCATAATATTTGTACATTGACAGAAGAAGAAGAAGAAAAAACTTGTTGACCGAATTTTCGTCAAATTTCCGCCAATTATTTCACCTCAAACTTTCTCAAAAGACGTTTAAAATGTTAATTAAAGACCAATTTAACACGTATTTTGCAGTTTCAGTAATGATTTTCGCTTTTTTTGTCAATAAAATTTCTGTTTTTTTCTACATTATTCAATTAAAATGTAATTTTCGTAAATTATATTTCCGTTAATTATTATTTCTCTTCCTGCTTTCTCCATGGATACATAAAACAATTGCAGTTAAATAACTGAAGTTTTACACTTTTTTTTTGTTTACTTTCGCTTACTTTGATGATTATTCTTGTAATAAGTTATTCACTTGAAAATAACTAAAGCTATAATTTTAGTCTTAGCTTAGAAATCGAACTTATTTATGGAAATTATACGATTTGAACTAGAATATTTGGAAATTGTTGTTGGAAGAAATACGATAAGAATTTGTTTTCGTTTTGAGTCTATTAAAAAAATTACGATATATATATATATAAATAAATAAGTAAATGAAATGAGTGTGAGTGAGTCTTTATATGCATCCGTTGCCCCAGCAACCGCACCAAGGAATCTTCCCCGAAACCGGAAAACTAGGTATGTTGGACATCTTCCTCGCAGAGCCGCAACTGCTGACGCTATTCGTGCGTTCCCTCTCCGAATCGCAAGCGCTGTAATTCGAACCGAAGCCTGCACCTGGAGCATTCAACTTCTGCTGCTCGAACATATTGGAACGATCCGTGCAGACGGAGAAGCTCCTCTCGCGATGGAAACGATCCGTGCTGATGGTGCTCCTCCTCTGCTTCAGAGCGGCGCTTCCCATCTTCTTGTGCTTCTTGTGTTTCTTGTCCTGCTCCTTCACGTGCACGTGCTTACGATCCGGACTGACCGAGAAGCTCTTCCTCAGCTGCTGCTTGGCAGTCATCACCTGCGAGTTTCGCTCGGACCCGGAGGAAACGTGTTTGCTGCGCTCCTCCAACGATCGCTTCGAGTCGACGCTGGGCGTCTTCTTCAGCTTCACCTCGACTCCTGGAGATGGCGGTTTAACCTCGGCCTTCTTCTCTTTCTTCCCCTTGAAATGTATACTGACTTTACGGCGGATGCTCATCTTCTGTTTCTTCTTGGCTTCGGGCGACAGCAAAGATTCGTTCCTCTTCAATTTGTTTTCTTCGTTCTCGCTGGATATGTGATCGGAGGAGGTGAGGTCGAGGAGGTTGGAGCGGGAACTGCACGTTTTCACTTGTTTATCTTTGATGAAGTCGAGGGGATCGGGTATCTCGATTTTCGGCGTTTCCGGTTGCTCCAGCAGACTGGGAAACACCTCGAGCTTGGGGAAGTTCAGTTGAGACTCTTCGGGTTTGTTGGAGATGCTCTCGCAGCTGGCGGAGATGTTGTGGTACTTTTCGAAACCGATGAGAGGCATCGGCGTGGGCATCAGCACCACGTTCAGCTCGCTCTTGTACGGCGCGAGATTCGTTTGCGAGGTGGACAACTTGAGGATGTCTTTGGAGATGCTCTCGATATCGTTCAGAAGCTCCTCCAGGTTACCACCGTTGTTGAACGTTGTAGTAGTGGAGCTGCGCGAGTTGAAGCTCTGATTGTCTAATTTCACAATGATGTCGCTGGACGTCTTCTGCAGCGGAACAATTTCTGGTTGGAATGTCGTTGGGGGCGGCGGCGGCGGTGGAGGCGTCGGCGGCGTCATGAAATAATCGTAACCGGACGTCGTCGGCAACGGCGCGAAGAAGTGCGTCGGGAAATCGGGGTAACCTTCGTCGGGTTTGATCACCATCTCGTTGGGAATCGAAGTTCTCGTCGAATTCTTATCAGAATTCTCAGTGGAATTCTCCTCGGGCACCACGGAAAGATGATCGAACTCCACGTGAAGGTTCTTCAGATTAGTCTTCTGCACGTTCTCTAGATTCTGACAAGTCTCCACCTCCTGGTACTCCTCCGTGCACGAAGTGCAACAATCCTGAAAATCCTAAAGTTATCCAAAACAATTCTATTTTTTTCTAAAAAATAAAACGCACCGAATCACTGGAAGAGCACGTCGAACTCGAGGAGAAATCCTTCTCCTTCAGCAGCTTATCCAATCTCGCGTATTCATCCCTCAAGCACCAGATCTCCTTCTTCAGCATCTCGTTTTCGCGTCGCAACTTCTTGATGTCCGATTGACCTATAAAGAAAAATCCAACAAGTGGCGGTTAAAACGCGACAGTATTTTCATGTTTTTTGGGTCGAGGTCAATGCATCGTTTTTTTTTCCGTTTTGTCCCACTCACAAATATATAAATAAATACGTTCATTCAAATAAAATTTAAAGAAAAACAATAATCCCACAGCACACACTGAATTATTAGTCCAGGAAGCAAGTGTTTGGATTTGCAGCGTGTACTCACCCCGTTCTATTTCTGCGTTTATGTTTATCGTCTTCAGTCGTAGCTCCTCGTTCTCGTAGATCATTCCCCTGGACGACTTCCTGTCCAATCTGAAGAGACAAAAAAAAACACACATTTTCAATCGTTTGTCTAAAACCACCATCGTTTTTAACATCTCGAGCACTCAATCATCCCCATTCTTACTTGACTTTGTTCTTGGACTCCTCCTTGTCCATGTCCAGATTTTATGGACACCGGTTCAGAACGAGGATGGATGGATTATTAATTGGGAAATTTCGAAACGGTTTCGTTCGGGCCGTGAAACCAACCACCACACACACGAAACAACACTTGAAAAACTATTTTCGTGGTTCTCTCATCTCTCGCACATTCGGTTTCCCGCACACACACATACACACGCAAACACACAAATCCAAATCCGCACCAGGCAGACCAAATAATATATTTAAAAAAAAATGTATATAAATATATAAGAAGAAAAAAAGCATTATGTCTATATGTATTATTGCCAAATTATGTATAAAAATATCTTCGCTCTACTTGGAAAAAGACCCTTTTTAGTCCCATCCGTAAACGCGAATTGCGAAAACCTTTGACGTCGCCACTGGCGCTAATCTATTTTTTTCGTTTCTTTTTGAACTTGTTTCTTTTTTTTTACATTAGCTCGTGTTTAGATCTCCACGCGAATTGGCATATCTATTTATTGACAAATTTTCAGAGAATCGTCTTTCAACGGTTGCGCGAGAATACGTTTCGTTACGTACAATGAAACACAAACACACAACCAAACTCATCTTTAACTCCTCCAATCGATGATAAAACACACACACGTTCCAATTTTGACAATGTTTACTAAATTCGTTTCATGCATTTGCTATGCATTAGATCACTACGTAGTCTGTCAGTTAAGTAAACGTATCCATTACAATTTACCGTTACGTCACGAATGTCAATGTCAACAATTATACAATTTTGACGTTTAAAAATGTCATATTATTTGTGCAACCAATTTTGAAAATATTTATCGATTAACTAATAAGTTTATATATGAATGAATCTTAAATACTTAATTAAGATTGACGCAAATGTCATGGTCGAAAATTATATAATTTTGACGTTTAAAATGTCATATTATTTGTGCAACTATTTGCACATGTTCCAATTTTGAAAATATTTATCTTTTACTTTAATATGAATGAATCTTAATTACATAATTAAGATTGTCGCAATTGTCAAGGTTCGAAAATGACGTTTAAAATGTCACATATTCCAATTTAGATAATATTTTTAAATTAACTAATAAGTTTCTACATAATTAAGGTTGTCACAAATGACATTGTCAATGTTTCAATTTCATGGATTTGCTATTAATAACATAATTTTATCTAAGAATGTTAAGTAAATAATGGTTATGTCACAAATATCAATGTCAACAATTATGAAATGTTGAAGTTTAAAATGTCACATTTGTATCCATATGTAGGGTATACGATAAACATACTTTATTTATTTTGATCTGTCAACAAATTACATAATTTAGACGTTTAAAAATGTCATATTATTTGTGCAACTAATTTTGAAAATATTTATCAATTAACTAAAAAGTTTATATATGAATGAATCCTAATTACATAATTAAGATAGTCGCAAATGTCAAGGTCGAAAATTATATAATTTTGACGTTTAAAAATGTCACATATTCCAATTTAATTAAGTAATAACATTCTACATAATTATGGTTGTCACAACTGACATTGTCAATTTTTCAATTTCATGAATTTGCTATTAAGAACATAATTTTATCTTAAGTAAATAATGGTTTTATATCACAAATGTCAATGTCAACAATTATGTATTGTTGACGTTTAAAATGTTACATTTTTATACATATTTAGAATATACGATAAACATACTTTATTTATTTTGATCTGTCAACAAATGACATTAATTATAAGCAAAAATATATTAAAATTTGTCACGAAATTCTAATTTCAATCATTCTTGATCACAAATTTAAAATTTCGTCACAACTCTCAAAAATATATTTGAAATATCGACATACTTGATTGGAATGTTAAAATCAATTATACATTTGTCAATTTTAAAAAAAGTGTCATTTTGACGTTTACACGATGTCAACAAATGTTATGTTGGGTTATCATTTAATAATAAATGTGTTTAAATGTCACAAACGTCAATTTCTAGAAATGTCATTTTGACGTTTAAGCAACGTCAAAACGTTTGGAGAGTCTTTGAATAGTGGCAAATATAATTTGAGAAATGTTGAAATATTTAGTAATAAATTTCAATTAAATGTTTAACATTTAGAAGACACAAATCAGATAATTAACGAAGTAAATCAATCAGAATTGTTTTCTTCACACTTAATATTATATAAAGTTCAAACGAAAATCGCTGTGAGTTGACGTCTCCATGTGACATTGACGTGGAAAAAAAAAACCTATTTTTAATCCGGATTATTTTGCCTAGGTCTAGAGCGACTCCAGATGTCACACGAGAACGCGTGTATTTCCGAAAAATTATTATTCTTAAGCAGTAAATCTTTACTTTAGCAGCAGTCGCCTGCTTGCTTGCTTACAGAAAGAACTAAAAACAGAAGAACGAGACGTGAAAAACAAATACAAAACAGTTGATGATGTTTAGAGCACGGTTTTAATGAAGTGCAGGACAAAATATAGTATTTGTGGACGCGACGGTATATTAGGTCTTTCTCTCCTTCTTCTCCTTCTCTCTTCTTCGTGCCATTACAACGTTTACAATCTTATTTCTGAGAGATTTACGACCTGCTTTTGTGTGTCTGTATGTGTGTGAGTAAATCTATGTATATGATACAGTGTATGTGTGTGTGGGGCTCAAGTGGGCCGTCGATGAATGAGTCAAAAGCAATTATTAGAACTTTAAACTCGAAACATCGCATGCTGGATGAGCACTTAATCTCCGGTTATTTTTTTTTTCTCTCTTTTCATTTCATTTATCGACTTGTAAATAGTTAAATGAAGTTGAATCCCGAGAGGTATCAAGAGGTCTAATGTCGTCGTTCGGTTGTTTTCGAAATCGACAGTTGCGAAGAATCCAGAAAAATAAAAATAAAAAAAAAATAAAAATGTAGACTTTATCTTGTTTTGAGATTATTACGTTTTAACTGATAAACGCGTCGTGACGTATTGTATTTAGTTTTCGCTTTCGCAATAGCAGAAAATATTTGGATGTTTTAAAAAAAAAACGAAGTGTTTTTCTCCTCTTTGTTGCGTATTATTAAGAAGTTAGGAGGCGATAAACAGGCTGTAAACTTTAATATATATATCTTACATTTTCTTTCCAATAAACTTCATTTGATCGTCGGATTAAACTTATAAATATAAACCAAAGCTTTCTCTGTTTTTTTTTTGGTAATTGATTTTGACGTTTTGTGTATTTGCAAATTGAAGTTCTGTAATGACAGCAAAATGGGAACACATCGAAAATGGATTCGATGTCCTAATTCTCGAAATTCCTCGACTTTCCAGCAAGAGAAACACATAGAGAGTGTGTGAAAGAGGGAGAGAGAGAAAAACTGTAAGAGAAAGATTGCATTTCCCAATGGCAGGTTTACTATATAATATATCCGAGTGTGCTGTGGCTGCCGGCTGCAGTAAATACAAGTCGCCGTTTGCAAATTTGTTCCACTTTCTTCGGAGGCCCCAATTTCACAAGATGCAAACGGTGTGTGTGTCTTGTCCGTTCGTTTTGTTTCATTTGTTAAATTTATACACGAATACTCTTAGGCTATTTCCAGCTTTCAAAAACAATAAGACTTTTTTTTGACATTTGGTCCAAACACCAAAACATCTGTCACTTTCTTAATTTCAAACGTTTTCATTAGATTATCCAAAACGTCAAAAAATTACAGATTTGTATAACTTAAAAACAGTCATTTTTTACTTATTAATAATTTTTTTTTAATAATTGGTCCAAAAACCAAAACTTACTTATTTTCAAATGTTTTCATTAGATTATCCAAAAACATCAGAAAATGACAGATTTGTATAACTTTAAAAACTGTAATTTTTTACTTATTAATAATTTTTTTTTAATAATTGGTCCAAAAACCAAAACTTTCTTATTTTCAAATGTTTTCATTAGATTATCCAAAACGTCAAAAAATGACAGATTTGTATAACTTCAAGACTGTCATTTTTGACTTATTAATAAAAAAAAATTTCATATTAATTAGAAACTTCTCAAATTTTTCAAATGTCAAAAATGACATTTTGAATATTGTATCGTATTTGATATTTTAACTAAAATTTGATGTAAATTGAGTACGTTTGAAAATTAATTTCGAAACTTCTGAAACGAAATGTTTTTTCTTCACTTCTCAACAATCCAATTTTATAATATTAAATTTGATAATGTTTCATTTCTGAAAATCAATTGACATATTCAATTTAACATTTATTTGTCATATTTTTTTTAAAAACTAAAATCTTCATTTTTTTTATGTAATAAACAAATAAATCTGTAAATACATAAATTTCGTACTTGGGTAATATTCCAAAACTAATTTTCTAACCTTAACGACATTTAATTTGACAGTTATTTTCAGACTTTCTAAATTTCAATTAATTTTAAAACTATTGAATGAAAATTTGAAAAAAATATCTAAGAAATGTATAGGATTCTGTTAGATTCTTAACATTTATATAAACGAAATGTAATTTGACAGTTATTTGCTGACATCTTTCAATTAATTTCAATGACATTTAATTTTGATTCTTTTATTTACATTTCTTCTATGATGAAAGCGGAAATGTTATTGTAAGGATGCGTAGGAATAAAGCTTGTTATTCTGACAGGTGTCAAAAAAATCAACTTTCAATATATCAAATTAGAGTTAATCAATTTAGATTGTTCGATTTAAAGTTTTAAAAAACAAGGAGGATTCGAGTTATTTAAGGATCGGATTGTAGTTTCTCATGTTAATTATACGAATGAGGTCAATTAACTGGAATTCCTGACAATTTCAGTGTCAGAGAAGTGTTAATGTGTTTTATTGGTGTAAGTTTTACCTTCTGTTTGGTTTGACATTGATGTCCCTGCGTCTCGTCCGCAACATGTTCATCGATTTTGACATAATTTCACGGGAGCGGAAGAAGTGGAAGTAGACGAAGAAGAAGAAGAAGCAGCAGCAGCAGGAGCAGATACAGACAGGCAGAAGGTGAAATCCCGTCCCACTGTTTATTTGAAATAATCTATTTCTAGATTTCCAATCCGAAATATTTATATAAATACAAATGGTGTATGGTTCGCTCCTTCTTCGGCCCAATTTGTTTACGTTCGATGGCCGTACAGGATCATATCGAAAATAACAACACCTCTTTGTTAAATTTTACTTTAAAAGCTAAATTTTACTACTATTAAGTACTATTCTTGAGAAGTGATATACTTCTTTATTGGCGGAAAACAACGATATGCCGCACCGCACCGAAATGTTTACATCCTCCGAACAAACATCTTGATCTTAATCCGTCCGTCATCCAAGTTTGATGATGATGATGCACAGCTTCTTCGTTCAACGTTTTCTTCCTCTTATTGTTGCTGCACGAAGTCCTTCCGGAAACAATGATCCTCGGAGCGGCGGACCTCATTTCGGCCACTCATTTTCCCCGACCGTCTATAAATAATCATCATCCAATACAGCGGCAGCAACAATTCGCGCGCGACGGAATCCATCGGTGGAAGAAAACGCGACTTCCATCAATCTTCGCCAAGTTGAAAACCCGGATGAAGATATCAAAGAAAATAACTCGAGAGAGAGAAGAACCAAGGAAACGGATCTAATCAGCTGATGATGTTACTGTTGCCTTGGTGATGAAGCACGGGGGTTGTAGGTTGATTGATCCTCTTCTGTCGTGAGGAACAACGTGCACGGCACTCTCGCACTCTTCCGTGTCCATGCGAAAACTCCGTCCGCTCGACGAGGATCTGTTTACGTTCGCGCGCGCGGTCTAAATTTAACCGCCGGTTATTTTCGGCGCCCCGGACCGATTGCCCAATTGTGTGTGTGTGTATATATGTATGTGATTTATTTAAAAAAAAAAGTTAAACTTTTTCTACACATATTTATGTCTGAGATGGTAGCCTAGTTAGTAGTGGCAGCAGCTGAGGTTGTGACCAGGTGTTTATTTTTTTTGGGGTCTTTTAGCGTTTGCTGCAATCGACGGAGCTGATGATGAGTACGAGGACTACGGCGATGACTACGAGGATTACGTGGAGTACAATGCGACGACGAACGGGACGCTGCAGTTCGTGCGCGAGCTGAAGAACGTCACCAAACATCGGGGCAACAACGTGAGACTTCGATGCGAGGTGAAGAATCTCGATTCCAACGAGACTTCCAAGGTGAAGATCTCTTGGAAGCAGCACGGTACGAGGATTCCAGACGATAAGCGCTTCAAGAAACAGAACACAGAGGTAAATGAAAAACAATTTATTTCTAAATTTAATCACTTTTCATTTCACAACTGTATTAGTTCAGAATTGAAACTGTACCTCATCTATGTTTATTTCACATCATTCTTTTGAAATAATCCATTTAACTTCGCAATGTAACATGTCAAACATGTATATTTAAAGAAAACGCATCTGTCACCATTTTGTCAAAATCGTGCTGCACACATTTTTATCTGTCAGATTTGACAGTTTTTAAAAACAAGAAGTAAAGCATTTCAAATTTGAATATATATGACAGTTGTCCATTGTCCACATTGTAGCATTACAGACACTCTTTTGAATAAACGCATCTGTCATTATTTTGTCAAAATCGTGCTGCACAAACTTTTATCTGTCAGAACTGACAGTTTTCAAAAACAAGAGGCAAAACATTTCAAATTTAAATACATCAAATGTGACAGTTGAATATTAAATTTGAGCTGTCTATTTTTGGCTGTCATATTTGATGTATTCAAGTGTTACAGACACTCTTTTGAATAAACGCATCTGTCATTATTTTGTCAAAATCGTGCTGCACAATTTTGTATATGTCAGATTTGACAGTTTTCAAAAACAAGAGGCAAAGCATTTCAAATTTGAATACATTAAATATGACAGTTGAACATTAAATTTGATCTGTCTATTTTTGGCTATCATATTTGATGTATTCAAGTGTTACAGACACTCTTTCGAATAAACGCATCTGTCATTATTTTGACAAAATCGTGCTGCACAATTTTGTATATGTCAGATTTGACAGTTTTCAAAAACAAGAGGCAAAACATTTCAAATTTGAATACATCAAATATAACAATTGAATATTAAATTGGAGCTTTTGGACTAATTTAGTTATTAAACATTGTCCACATTGTAGCATTACAGACACTCTTTTGAATAAACGCATCTGTCATTATTTTGTCAAAATCGTGCTGCACAAATTTTTATCTGTCAGATTTGACAGTTTTCAAAAACAAGAGGCATTTCAAGCATTCTAAATTTGACAGTTGTCCATTGTCCACATTGTAGCATTACAGACACACTTTTGAATCAACGCATCTGTCACCATTTTGTCAAAATCGTTCTGCACAAATTCTGCAAGTGTAACATGTCAGATTTGACAGATCGCAAATAAAAATTAGTAATTTTAATTCAATTGTCGTCATTGTAGCATTACAGACACACTCTTTAGTATTGATGTTAATGTAACTGTCGATGTTTTGCAGAAACATCAGGAGCAACTGCACGTGAGCGTCCTGAGGATAATGAAGTTGGAAGGATTGGATCGCGGTTTCTACACGTGCGTCGCGAGCAAAGGCTCCG